GACAGGGCCTACCCATGAGCTATTGGAGATAGGGTAAATCAAGCCATTTCAGAATTTTTTTCATTACCACTTTCTTCATAACAGGGTTGAGTCTTCATTGTGGTTCGATTGAATTGTCGTGGTAATCTTCAAGCAGAATCTTGTGCATGCAGATTGTGGGACTAATGCCTTTCAAGTCGGCCATAGTCCAACCAATTACTTTCTTATGCTGTATCAAAACACTTAACAAACTTTGCTCTTGATTAGTAGTAAGGTTAGCGGAAATAATCATCGGTAAAGTCTCATAGCTACCTAAGTAAACATATTTAAGATGCCCTGGAAAGGTTTTAAGTTCTAAAGTAGATGCATACAATAATGAAGGCATATGAGGAATAAATTCATCAAAATTTAGAGGTTCAAAATTCATACCTGATCTAACTTGTAGTAAGCTAGATTGCTCCTCCAAAATTGAAAAGTTGTCGGACTCCACTAAGCTTTCATCATCCACCCAATAATCATTTTCTTCTAGCTGAATGAAATTATTTTGGCAAAATTCAGTTTCTTCTTCGATCACTGAGTTCAATTTAGAAATGCTTGGCATTCTCAGTGTCATCAACATATTGAGCGTTCGAAACACATTGACAGTCACACACTGATCAACCACTCTCATGGTGAGTTCACCTTTTTCACAGTCGATCAATATACGTCCAGTGGCTAGGAAAGGTTTTCCCAGAATAATTGGTGCCTTGGCATCAACTTCGCAGTCCAGAATTAAGAAGTCGACTGGAAACACAAACTTGTCCACCCGTACTATAACATCCTCGACTCTCCCTACAGGTTTCACATGGGATCTGTCAGCAAGTTGTAAAATAACCGAGGTGGGTCTTGCACCTCCTATGCCAAGCTTCAAGAATATTGACTTTGGCATTAAGTTGACACTTGAACCAAGATCACATAGTGTATTTCCAACGAAATTAGCTCCAATCGAACAATGAATTATGAAGTTGCCCGGATCATATCGCTTTGGCGGCAACTTACGCAATAAAGAATAAAATTCTGTTGCCGTGGCAACAGTCTCTACTTTCCTCTTCTTGGTACAGATTTCCTTCAGAAATTTCGCATACATCGACATCTGTTCAATAGCTTCCAAGAGAGGTATATTGATATGGAGCTGATCAAGAATGTCCACGAACTTCTTGAACTGAACTTCATCATTGTGCTTCTTCAATCTTTACGGGAAGGGTGGTGGAGGTCTATCTTCCTTAAGTACAGTAGTAGGAATTGCTTTTGCATTGGTATCAGAATTTGGTGCCTTAATAGAATCCTCCTCCTTGTCCTTATCAATACTGCTATCATCATGCAATTCAGCTTCACCTTTGTCATTAGTGGGAATAGAGTCATCTGTTGTGCCCTACTTGCTTTGACTTGTTGATTGATTTGTGTTCCACTCCTAAGAGTTAACACATTGCAATGCTCCTTTCCATGCCCTTTAGTGACTTCAGTATCACTTGGAAATCGTCCTTGCTGACGCTCTTGCAATGCCGTAGCAATCTGACCAACTTGACCTTCCAAAGCTCTCAGAGACGAGCTATGGCTTTGAAGTAAGGCGCCTTGACTATAAAGTAAAGCTCCTTGATTCTTAATTGAAGTAGAATGGTCTTGCAGCATTGTCTTCGTAGTAGTTATGAACTCTTGAATCGTAACTTCTAAGGAACTCATGCTTGCTGAAGTTGAAGCTCCTTTGTTAGTATTATGCCATGGCATAACATTCTGGTAACCTTGAGGCTCAATGTGATTCTGTTGCCGAGTAGGTTGATTAGCATTATGGGCTCCTTGAATTCCCCATGAGAAATTGGGGTACTGACGCCATCCAGCATTATAAATGTTAGAGTAAGGATTGTTGTTGCCTCGATTATAATTACTCACAAAGTTGATGGACTCATGGTTGCTCGGGCATTCGCTCTTGTGATGATTGCCTTTGCATAACAAACATGCCAGGCTAGTCTTCACTTTCTCAATTCAGTAGAACGTTGTAAGTTTTTCAGCATATTGGTGATAGTCGAGAGTTGAACGGATACCGAATCTTTGGTATCTAGCTCAAATGCTCCAGGTGTTCTCCTCCCACTTCTAAGTATTGAGGAAGGAAACTGATAATCATTGTTAGCAATTCTGTCCAAGATAGCAAACGCCTCAGTAGGTGATTTATCTAGCAATGTCCCATTTGCCGAGGCATCCAGTAACATCCTCGTGGGTGCATTGACTCCATTGTAGAACATCTACTTGAGTCCAATCATGAAAACCATGATTGAACACTTTCTAAGAAACTCTTGTAACGATCCCAACACTCATACATGGATCGTCGTCGCCCTGGCGAAAAGATGATATGTCAATCCTTAGCTGAGTATTCATGTTGGTGGATTGTACCTCAATAAGAACTCATGCAAAGATCAGCCATGATTTCATCGAACCGACTGTATACCACTCAACCAATCTTGCTCGGTCACGCATGAATATGGGAACAACTTTAACTTCAGAAAATCCTCATGCACTCCCTCTTGGCAAAAAGAATCACAAACTTCCAGAAAATTACGAATGTGCCTGACATCTTCATTTGGTATACCCCCAAACTGCCCAATAGAATTCACATGTTGAACATGACTGGTTTCAGCTCGAAATGAGCAGCTTGAATTTTGGGTGCCACAATCCCAGGATTCAGTTCATCCAGTATCAGATTTAAGTGATCACGAATAACACGCGACCTAACAGCAGGATCAACATTGTCTAATGCGCGGTATTCTGATTTCCATCAACTTGACCAATGCCTTGGTTTCCAATCTGATATATTTCCTCGCGCGTTGAGCACGTCTCCTTTGTCTAAAGAATCTTTCAATCTCAGGTTCTATCGGTTCTAAAGGCTCTTCATAATTTCTTCTAGGCATACACTAAATAAACCTGAAAAATGATAAAAAAAATATAAGTAACTATACACAAATAAAATGCAAAACAAATAAAATGCTCTGGTAAACTAAATAACTTCAGGCTGTCAATCCCCGGCAACGGCGTCAAAAACTTGTCCGCGTGTATGAGTACTATAAAATATATGCAAATAATGTGCAAGTATACAATCGCTCAGTAATACAATGAGTGAGTATCGTCTCCACAGGGGGTGAAATTATAAAAGTCTAACCCAAAGCTAAGCAGTAATCTATCTAAGTATAGTTAGTCTTTATATATACAAATGTCACGGTAAATGAAATTGTATGCTGATGGATGTAGATGAATGGTCTGATGGTGTAGCAGATGGAAATGTAGTGGCAAGATAAGATGTTTAGTGTTGAAAATGGTGTAATGTCGAGGCAATGGAAGATGGTAAATAAACAGTAAATAAACATAAAATAAATGAAAAGAGATAATCCTCACGTGACAGCTTCCAACGGAATGAATGATAGAGATTAATTTAGGATGCTAAACTTATTTCTCAGGCATATTTAAGTTATCTAATCCTTACTTGCTCGACAGGGCTTTCCTAAAATGTTCTCAAAGGAATCCTAGTCTCTCCCGAGATCTAAGGGATTAGGTAATATCCCTAGGCCGGTTCAAAGCCTAAACAGTAAATAAACATAAAATAAAATGAAAAGAAGATAATCCTCACGTGACAAGCTTCCAACGGAATGAATGATAGAGATTAATTTAAGGATGCTAAACTTATTTCTCAGGCATATTTAAGTTATCTAATCCTTACTTGCTCGACAGGGCTTTCCTAAAATGTTCTCAAAGGAACCTAACAGAATAGGATGCCAAGGCATATGCTGTCACTCAACGATGTTGGCCAGCCTACCCTATTGATAAAGACACCCTTTTTACTCGTTGAAATCCTATCCTAGTCTCTCCCGAGATCTAAGGGATTAGGTTATAATATCCCTAGGCCGGTTCAAAGCCCTTTAAAAATATTATCTTGTCTTGCGGTTCTCTCGAATACTTACAAGTATTTTTAGCTTAGGTTTCTCCTGAATACCTAAACTTTATCTAAGAAATGGACATTTACATGCCTCTTACAAGCCTAGATGGTAAAGCATTCATAAGCAAAGCAAATAAAGAACCAAAATAAACTTAAATATACCATTAAAATAAAGTCTAAATATCCATTAAACCAACAACCACCAAATAAGTTAGTTCATGGTGGGGTTCGAAATATCCAAACACAAAGTCATGCAAATATTCGTTCCAACAAACCACAAATAAATAAAAAAATAGTAGCAAAAAGGGAAGTGAGAAGTAGCATTCGACGAGCCACCGGAGGTCTCCTCAGCCACCACGAATCACCTTAGTTCGCTAGCTCCTCTCGGCACCTAGCTCGCTACTCCTTGGAGTTTTATCAATTGAGGAAAACACAAGGAAGAAGAAAAGGAAAAGGAAATAAAAATTTGATTTTTTCCAGCTCTATGCGTGTGCCTCTTCACGTGTTGTGTATTGTCTCCCTTGAGGTGTAATATATAATAAAAATATATAGGGGCAATGATGAGGTTGTTGGGTGAAAAATACCCCTCATACCCCTAGAATCACATGTAGTGAGTGAACCTTATCCTCCAGGTGGCAGTGGTCCCATAGCAGCTCAGGCAGGTGGTTACAACAATCATTTCACGTGCAGATCCAGCTATCCTCGTACAACTGTATCTTTTTATCGTTTTCTGTGCAAGAAATGCCAAGGCATTTCAATCTGCTTCAGCAACGTGTGATTCCATGGCGTTACTTCCCATCTAGTCCATTTTGCTTGCTATTCCCTGCACACCACATACAAACTGCACATTTCCTTCAAGCAGCATCATTAAGAAATAAAATAGCACAACCACCACAAATGCAACTATATGCAACTACATGATCCTAAAATGCCTAAAATGAGCTTTTAAACATACAATAAATTAAGTGAAAAAGGCCTTAAAAGTATCCTTTTTAGGAAGTTAACACACATCTTTAGTCATGTGCGACCAATAGTATTGATCCGCAAGTAGTGCCAAAGTCCATCAACTCCCAGATGTCCACCATATAAAATCATGGCATTCCTTCATAAGCTCCTTGCGCAACTTCCCATACTGCAACACGTAAAGATGATCCCCTTGAGTATAGAGTAACTCTCCCTCGATCCAAAACTTAATGGTTCTCCCTTCCTTGGTGTCATCAATCAATGTCTTGGGCATAGACTTGTGGGGCAAACCCTCCTTGATCATTTTAAATAAAGAACCCTTCAAAAACTTGATGACATACCTATGGCTTAAGCCATTTGTAACACAGTTCACCTTTTCGAGCTTGTCCTCCATAAGAAATTCGAACTTAGCAAGAAACACTTTGCAATAAGCCTGCTTAGGAGAAAGCTTCTTTTAGGTGAGAAAGTAACTATTTGTAATGTTTTCGATAAAAATCACAAACCTAAAACCAAGTAAATAATATCACCAAGTGCGCAAATAATGCACTACCACAGTGATCTCCTTCTCATGAACTGAGTACCTCCTCTTTGTCCCATTGAGCTTCCAGATTTCATATGCAACCGGATGTTCTTATTGCATAATGACCCCACCAATGGAAACATCAGATCAATCGGTAAAAATAACAAAAAGTTTGGTGTAATCAGGTAACACCAGCTCACTCACCATGTCTTCCTTGATCTTCTTGAAAGCCTCTTGACACTTCGAACACCATTCTCACACTTTTTTCCTCTTAAGAAACTAAGTCAAAGGTGTGGCCATTTTGGAATAGCCCTTCGTGAACCTTCAGTAATAGTTGGCTAATCCTAGAATTGCTCTCAACTGGAACACTTTAGTGGGTGAATTGCACTCATAAATTGCTTGAACCTTGTCCCAATCCATGCGGAGCTTGCCTCCTTCAACGACATACCGCCTCCTTCAACGACATACCGGAAGAAAACGACCTCCTTTTGGGAAAACGAGTACTTCTCTTATTTCACATAGAGCTAGTTCTCACGTAAGACTTGGAACACCTTCATCAAATGCTCAACATGTTCCTTAAGAATCTTACTATACACCACGATGTCATCAAGGTAAACTATAATGAATTGATTAAGAAAGGGTTGTAGTACCTTGTTCATCAACGTGCAAAATGTAGTAGGGGCATTTGTGATGCCAAAGAGCATCACAAGGAACTCGCATGAACCGTAGCACGTCACACAAGTTATCTTCAGTTCATCACCCTTGGCTATTTTGACTTGGTAATATCTTAACCACAAATCCAATTTGGTGAACCATCTTGCACCACCAAGTTGACCGAACAAGTCTGCAATCAATGGGATCGTGTACTTGTTCTTTACAGTGAACTTATTCAAAACCCGATAGTCGATGCACATCCAGAGAGAGCAACCATGCTTCTTTTATCATAATATTGGTGCAATAAAGGGTGCCTTAGACAATCGGATATACCCCACATCCAAGATTTCTATCAACTATTTGTGAAGCTCCTTTAACTCAGGAGGAGCCATGCGGTAAGGTGCCTTAGTGGGTGGTTCTGCATTCAGCACAACCTCAATCTTGTGATCCACCTTCCTCTTATGTGGTAAATGCTTTAGTAACTCTGTTGGTATAATATCCCTAAACCCAACAAACACTTGTTCTACTTCAGTCGGGACCTCTTTGATCATTGTGGACTTATCTTTCACCAACATTTCCAAGTAGATGGGTTCCTCCTTGCGCACTCCCTTTGAGAATTAAATCACAAACAATATATTGGCCCCAACTCTAGCCTCTCAGTTCACCGAAATAATGCGCTAGTGCTTCGGATCAAGTATGAATAAACAATTAGCAAATGGCTCATTTTACTACACTAACAATCAAAGCTTTCTCGAAATTGACGGTCTTGATAAACCTACTTGCCTTTTTCACTGGAAGCTAAAGTTTTTTAGTAACCTATTCAGACATGAACAACTCTAAGGCACCCGTATCAACTAATGCACTCATTTTATAGCCGGCAACAATGATGTCCACAAATATCATCCCCTTCTTTCCACGCCCCTTCTTGACTTCCATGGATGTAATATTCCAAAAAGTGGGCTAATGACTAAAATATAAGTTTTGAAACTTTGTGGTCAATTTTGAAAAAAATTTAAAAGTTTAGGGACTTAATTGGAATATTTTGTGTAGGATTGAATAGAAAAGAAGTAAGGATGGAAGGGTATAATGATCATTTGACAAAAAATGAATTAAACACTTTAATTTAGGGGTCAGATTTTAAGTTTTTGAAATTATAGACATATTTAGAAAGTGAAGGAAATTCAAGGACCCAGTCATAAATTTACCCATTTGTCTTAGATGTTGAAAAATAAAAACCCCTCCCCGTGTAATATGGTATTCTCTATAAAGTTTTCCCTAATTTTCCTTTCCATCGACCCACTTTTATAGCCTCGATTCTCCACCGTCCGGCCACCATTCGTCAATCCAACACCAACAATGGACTCACCATTGAACGGTGAACAAAACATGACTTTTATTCCGTTGTGAATCGGCACCGTTCAACATAAAACTCAACCGAAAGTTTCGTTGGTTTTAACTCGATCGACATTGGTTTTTCGTATATTCAGGTCAATCCGGCCACCTGTTTTCGATACCTTCCACACCATCGTGTTCCTTGCATCGTTTCGAGTCCACCGATGTCCTTCTTGTCTCCATCGTCACCGGCGCGTGAGGGGGTGAAGAAGTTAAAGTTTCTGACGTTTTAAAATCGAGCTCTCCACCGTTCAAAATTGTGAAACAAGCTTGGTATGTGTTTCAAAATCCTTTAAAATAATTTTAGAAATTATTGTGGAATTTTTCGGACACTGTAAGACGCCGCACGCGCCACACGCGCTGTCCCTTGAGAGTGGGCGTCGTCTCCCAGCAGGAAAATAGGTTGAATTGGTTGGACCGCCTGGACTGGTCTAACTAAACCAAACCAGATCGAGCCGGACTAAGCCGAACCGAGCCGTTAATTGTTGACTGACGTTGACTGTTGACCGATGTTGACCGTTGACCGACCGTTGACTGCTCGTTGACTTTTTCTTGGTACATCTATCCTAACATTTTTTGACGTCTTGAATATGTTTTTAGGGTCCGTTTTACCAAATTTGAACCTTGTAAGCTATTTTTCACTGATTTATCACCTGATTCGATCAATTTTTCACAATTAAGCTCTATTTATGATGAAATTTCTATTGTTATGTATCTGAGGAATTACTAGAAGTTGGTTTCAAGTTTGAGAGTGATCGAATGGTGATTAATTAGTCTATCTATATTGCACGAAAACTGATATATCAATCGAAAGCAATAATCGAACGGGTCAACGAGATAAGATTGATAAAATGAGATATAAGAGTTATAAGTATTGTTTTGACTAGTGAGTGTCAGGTGAGTGCAATACATGCATGACATCATGTACATGGATGTTTTATACATCATAAGGAAGACTTGTGATAAGTCTACCTTGTTTTATCAGCATTAAATTTTGACATGGATGTTATTTTGGGTATGAATTGCCCTAATGTTTGTTTCATGGTTATATGTTGCCATGGATAATCAATGACTAGATGCCCAAGTATGTTATTAAGGTTCAGTGGTATTAATGGCATGTCATAGAGTCTAGCAGCTGCATATTAGGTAGCACTAGAGTGTCTATAGAAGGCATATAGTGCATGCCTCAAAGTGTCTAGAGAAGACACGGTACAAAACACTACGGTGTACAAGGTGGGTAAAACCCGACCTCAGCACTACGGTGCATTATTAGGTGATCAATGCTCGACCTCAGCACTTTTGTGCAATATTTGACTCCTATACCAGGTTTCTCATGGATTGAGAATTGTGGGCAATAGTTGTTGATAAAAATGATTTATTTATATTATGTTGTTTTGATTTTTGACATTTGAAAATGATATTAAATTTTATGCATGATTTATATTACACTGTTTATTGTTTTTAATTGCCTCACTAAGTATATACTTAGCGTGTGATGATTTTCACGCGTAGGTAAAAATTCAATAGTAGAGTAAAGAGTACATAACACTCCAAGCATCAAGGAATATACTACAATATCATTAAGATATCCTATGATATGATTTTGACTTGTTTAGTGGCATGTACTTATCAATGTCCTAGTTATTATATTGAATTATTTTTGAATTGTTTTGTAATGACTAAACTGAACGGTTTTACTTTATTTCAATATGGATATCATAAATCCATATTAATATATATGTTTTAAATATTATGCGAAAGTTTTATGTGATTTAATATTTTTATATTATAACTTATCATTTTATGAAAATAAATTTTAAATCAGTTTTGAATGGGAAAATATTTTAAGAAATTCATGTGACATCTAGAATTTGTATGGGTATAATTATACGGGTTTTAGGTGTTATATTTATTGGTATCAGAGCTATAGGTTTAGCCGTTTCTGGACATGGAAAGAGTTTATTTTAAGTCAAGAATGTATACATGTCACTATAATATGTGATAATGTTTATTGGGAGTAAAGTTACTCTTTACTAATGTAAGATGATTTTGACTATGTTCAAATGTCAGAAACTAAAGACAAAAGTAAGAAAGTCGAAAATGTTGAAAAAAGGTCAAGATTGAAATCGAATCAAAGGGACCCGACATGACTATTGTAAAACGCCTTAGAAGGGTGGATGTTATTAGGGATTTTCCTCCATTCTGTGGAAGAAATGCCCTAACATTTAACGAAGTTTCTGAATTGGAAGAATCCATTAAAAAGTTTAAATGTCTTACAAGAGAAGTCGAATCGGATGAGGATCCAGAAGAGATTTCTGAATCTATTGATGATTTTGAGGTTCCTCCAGGTAAGCTTAAATAAGTGAGAAATATTTAAGTTAATCATTAAATTGTTTAAAGCATTGTTTATTTGAGTAAGAGGAATTGAGTAAGTGGTAAATATGATTTTCGCTAAAAGTTTATAGAAAGTTGAGTTATTAGTGAATCAAATGATTATGAGTTTGATTGAGAATAGATATCAAGTCCATAAAACTTGATAGAGTTACCTTGCGAAGGTAAATTTGTGAAATGAATTGTCTAACCATTCCATGTTACAATGAATTATTATTTAAATTAAGATTGATTCTCAAGAACTTGAAAAGTTTCAAGTTCATAGTGAGAGGAAAAATAGTAAATTTGTTTGATAGTGTGATTTTATCATTAACTGCTATGAAGTTATTGCTACAAATTTATCAAGTTTTCTTACTGAACGATGTGGACATTTAGACTTTCATTTGAGATGGAAAATGTTATAATTGCTCGAGAATAATTTCTATGGATCTGGATAAGTTATATAGATTTCCTTAAGAATGAAATAAGGAATTCTAAAGTAGAGATATTCAATTCAACTTGATAAAAAGTGTTATTATTGCGGAAGACCTGTGGGTCATGAAACAAGTGTTAGACAGACAAATAATAAATGTTCGATAAAGATTCATGAGCTTATATTACCGGTGAATCTTATGGGATTATCATTAACGAGTTTTAGATCATTTTGATCATGAGTTGGTTGTCTCTGCATTAAGGTTGGGTTAATGGTCGCAAGAAAATATTAATTTAGAAAAAAATGCAGAGAAATTAAAATTTTTAATGATTGATGAAAAAGTGAAATCATCACTAACGTGATATCAACAATGGTTATGATTAAGATGATGTAAAAAGGATGCATAACTTTTCAAGCTAAGGTGATAGATACTCAAGTATCTGAAGTAAGATCATATGATATTTCCATAACTCAGGAATTTCCATATGTCTTTTTAGATTTATTATTTGGGTTATCTCCAGATCGAGAGGTGAAATTCAAGATTTTATGATTTTCAAGGCTTTGATTCTGTATATATGGTTTGATATCAAATGAATGAAATTGAGTTAAGAGAATGAATGTCAATAGCAAGAGCCGCTAGATTGAGGATATGATGAACCAAGTATTTCAATCTTACTTGGATCATTTTGTGGTGGTCTTTATTGATGACATTCTGGTGTACACGAAGATAAAGAAAGAGCACGATGTTTATCTTTGTACTATGCTTGATATACTTAAGGATATGTTAACACAAAGTGAAAATTTTCTGATCTAATAGTGTAAGGAGTGTGTTGTCTTGTTAATAGAGTTAAATTATTATGTTAAATGTCTGACTATGAGAGCTCTGAAGTGAAGCGGGAGGTGATATACCTGAAGGTAATAGCAATTCTGCCCTGGCCAGGCAGGTGAATAGCGAACTCTCAGAGGTGCTTGTATAAAATTAGAGGATGTTTTTCATGATGTTGAATGATATTCTGATGTGTTTCCAATCTGTTCCCTCAACTCAAAGAAAAATATGCGAAAGAG